CGTTCTTCACAGTATTGATCCATATTGTTTGTTCTTTTTTGAGTCTTTTTCGAGTTAGTGCATCTGGGTACTTATACTCTTTGATAGTTGGGGGTTTTCTGCAGAGACCCACACTTCTCACTGACTAATTTATGTATTCCTCAAAAGCTTCGCGATTATTCAATGACTGATCTAAGATCTGTGTACCGCCCCGTGTGGCTAGAGATTATTCTGTCGGTTTTCACGAATACCTTCAGGGCTCTGTCCCATATGTATTTTTTAACCGGGTCTATTCTAAAGTCTCTTAGCATGTTATTTGTGCGGATGTACCAAGGCACTTTAAAGAGTCTTTGGAAGGCCTAACTTTGAGCAACTTGCAGCTTCTGGATAGTAATGTTGGCAGCTTTGCTATATGCGACACACCCATAGAGTAGTGCCATGTCGGAATTTCTAGCTATAGATCAAGTTTCTGTTCTTCACGCTAAGGTTATTGTGTTTGAAAAGTGGTTGTAAGCAGTGCTGTGTTTTTGCGCAATTACTGCTTTCGCCTTATATGTACTCGTGGTAATTGAACCGCTTATCGTACTTTACAATATCGATCCATTTTGTTTGTGGTGTTTTAATCCTTCTTATTCCAAGATGTTTATGTGTATATATACTATACTTAGCACATCGTTCTGCAATATCAATCCATCTAATTTGTGGTCTTTTGATCCTGATGTGTGTGTATATACATACTTCCTATATCGTTCTCCAGAATATCGATCCATCTTGTGTGTTGTCTTTTGTTCCTTCTCATTTCAAAATCTTTATGTTCCAATTTTTCATACATTTTTCTTTCTTCCTTTTTGTCGTTAAGGCTACATCTATTTCGCACATAAAACTGACATAAAAATCATAAAAATTGTTTGCAATGTCAAAATTTTGTGGCGTATTTTAAATCGAATTTTAGGTTTACTTTCTATACGAAATATATGTCTTTACGAGGTTTTATACCGAATTCCATATAAAGCAATTTTGTTTCGAAATCCAAATAATCTATGCATTATTTTATACTCAAAGAAATTTAATTGATTTTATAAACTGATCGTATAAATACCTTAGAGCTATACATTTAATTGTTTCTTTAAGTAAATGTTAATTGCGTTTACACAACACCTTTCGAGCAATAATTAACTGTAAGTAATTGAGTTTTAGGAAATTTTCTACAGACTGCTTTAATAACAGTTTACAAAAAGGCTGAAAGCAGTCAACAATATCTCATAGTTTTTAATATACCATACAAACATATATTAGAGATAGATTTTCTTTTTTAATATTAATAGCAATTCAACTGATAAGTTGCAATTAAAACGGAGTGCATACACGGAGTTTACTTGTTAAATTATAAAAATTACAAAGTCTTCCTTTGTAATTATTTTCAGATTATAATATATTACACGAGTACAGAGTTATCCATTTTATATTTCTAAAATTAACATAATTAATACATACTTGTGAATATGAAAATGACAGAATTGAATGACAGTTCTGTTTGATATATGTCACTTAATCAAGACCACGAAATGGATCTCTTGTACACTCTTAGTTTTATAGTTCAAACTTAAAACAAGGCTATATGCTGATGAAGGTGGTATTTGTAGCTCACAAACGATTAGCTATGAAATATTAGCTGTATTTATATCCTGACCTTAGACGTTGGAACGATTATTAATAAAAAAAACTTTATCGCAACAAACCAGACTTCAAATAATATTAGTCATTTAACAGCGATCAGATATAGATAATGCCAAAGATCATTGTATACAAATCTGGATATTGAAAAACAAACGTTTTCAGTCTGTATATTTTATCATAGTGATATGTATAGGAAACTTGCTCTCAATAGATCTTACTTCCAGTTCTTGAGTTATTTAAAATGCAATAATGTTTAGAAATAATTATTACTAAACATATTTTTAAAATACTATGTAAACATTTGTTAGTATCTTTCAATAAGTCTGCTAAATACATTTTTTGTTCCCATTTGTATTTCTTCAATTATGGTTCTATCTGCTTTTAGACACTATTAGTCTTTTAGATACATAACAATTTCAAAGTTCGATTAACAAATCTCCGAAGAAGTTTATACGATATTATTTTATAAACATATTTTTGATTTTAATAATATTAATAAATAAATTTAAATATGATAATTATATTTGTATATAATAATTATATTTAAATTTCATCGCAAATCAATGAAATCCATGAAATGTTATCAAAGGTAAAAAGAAATATGAAAAAAGAAGAATATTTTTTTTTGTTTTCTCTAAATAAATTATTTATATTTAATATAAACAATGTTCTAAATTTTTAATTAAAATATTGCTAATAATAGGTCAGGTCCATTAATTTTTTTTAGCCAAATCACGGTTTTCCCTAATTTTAGAGTACATAAGGATATTTTTAAGCCTTATGGGAGGGAATTAAATATCCCACATAATAAACCCTGTTACACCAAAATATAGGAATCCATTTAAGAACTAACGAAATGCGGGCTTATTTCCTGTTATATTAAAATGTCTGGGGAACTAAAATTAGAGCTACTGCTTAGTAAGTTCATACTTCGTCTACATTCTTGAATTATTTTTAATGATATATTTAAAAAATTAATTTGCTAATGTTCGCATATGATATGTCATTATTGTGATAAAAAGAATTTAATACTATAAAAAAACTTTTCCAGAACGCTCTTCTTCCACAATCATATGAGAATGAATATTGATCCGTACTTCATTAAAAATGTTATTTCAATTATGTAAATAATAGCAATCCTTACTCTACTGAAAATATTATTGTAATTTCGCAATTAATAGCAATCCTTACGCTACTGTAAATATCAATATATCTGGATAGTTATTTTTCCACACCACATACGTATCTTACAATATCAATACTTTCCCCAATACCTATGACATATATGTATATAAATACATGTTATATAAAGTTCATCCAAAATAATAATTTACATTATCAGACTGGGCGTTATTGCTTTATTTGATTTGTCAAATGATGCCATTTGAGTTTTACGGGCTTGGCAGTGTGAAAAAAACCATTAAAAAGTCTCAAAGACCCAAAAACATAAAAAAAATTTGCAAAACAAGTGAATATTAATCTGGCTTACCACCCACACAAAACCACAGTAACACACAGAAGCGTTTACATTGCAAAAAATTGGCACGTAATGTAGTTCAAAATATATAAGAAGTTTATGGGTTTAGTGTATCGCCGGTTCCATACGACTACTAGAATAATGCGATAAAAGGGTCAGAATAGAAGAAAAGCACTCAATAAGAATAAAAACAGAATCGGTTTAGATGTCCACAAAATTAAAATAAAAAATACTTTTTTAATGACCAAGTAATTTTGGCTAATAAAATGACTTGAAAGTCACTACAAAAACAACAACCAAAAACGCCTTCGTATTTTGGACATTTTTAAGCTGCTCACGTCTGAGTATCTGAAAATGTTCTCGAACAATAAATACCGACAAACACTGGAATTGGTAATAAACGTGATGGGAGCAGATACCGGCAAAATGCATTGTCTATGGCGTACGCGTGCGTAATCGATACTATATTTTTTTTTTTGTTTTATGAACTATGTGTAAAAGTATCTACATACAATTTACTCATAGATACATACTTATAGATATACATATATGTATAGTTATAGTATCTACAGGTTCGATAAGTGTAAATCTCGTTGTTGACATAAAAATGCCGCTGCGCACGTATACTTAACAAAAAAAAAAATATGTTAAAGATCAATATTTAAATCATGAGCGGGTGTGAAATGTCGTATTGATTTTATTCTTGTTGACATTATTTGTATTAAATATTTTTAAAACGCTTACGAATTCATTCATTACTTCACATTGAATAGTAATGCAATATATTCGATTTGTTTCGTTTTCAATTACCCACACACTTTGCAGTTTACTTAGATACTTTGCACAAAGCAAATCTATGTACACTCAACTAAACATAGTAACGTTTTGAACGCCTACGAAAAAACCTAACATCATGGCCAAATCCGAAACTCAGTAACAAGTTCCAATGCACAAACAAGATATTACAGACACAGCTGACAGATTCTACAGCACGATGACGTCATAACCAACTAAATGAAACTTGTTTTAACCAAAGCGTCTCCAACATGGTTTAGTCATCGGCGCACAGCAGTTTTCTTTTTCAACCAGACAAGTTCCAAATGTATACGTCTGTTTTCAGGTGTAAGTGTAAGTACGCATGTAATTCGGTCCATTCGGTCTTCCAACAAATCCAAATTCAAACTGCGTGTATACCTTCGTCTCCATTGTAATCTATTTAAAAATGTAAGAGACCAAAGCAGAAAAGCCTGCTTTATTGCTTTTATAATTTATATTAATTTTACTTTTTTATTCTTTTATCTGTCTGATATGGATGCGTTGTTGGTATGATGAGTCATCCTTATAAATCTCTAGATTGGTTGAATTATTGATTTTTTCTTACACTACATTATTGGACGATATATTATGTATTAAGACTGTTTGAACGATTATTATATGTATATCAAAAAATTTTTTTTTAAATAAAAGAAAGAAATATTATAATAACTTTGAGAATTATTCAAATAATAGATATTACTAAATTGGCGAAAATTTGCAACAGAATGAAACATTATAGCAAATATGAGTGTTATTCAAATAGTAAGTATTACCAAAATGAAGAAAATTTGGAAGAGAATGGAACTTCACAGGAAATGTGAGAGCTATTTATATATTTTTATTTTTTTTAACAATACGTCTTTTTTAAATCACTTTTATTTAAAGCCTAACAATAAGTTTTAGAATCTTAAAAACTAGTAACATTACATATAACAAACTATTTTA